CGTTATCGAATACACCAGCTCTGCGCGCCGCACTTGCTCTGTCGTGAGCGTACCCTCGTCGTCGCTAAACTCGCTATCGTTGCTATCATCAGCATAATGATGTCGAGAAGCACTGTCATTGCTTCCTGGCCGCGTAGGACTACCAATGGGGAGCACTCGCGAATACTGTCCATCCGATGGCGTTGTCAAGCCTGCTGGTGCTCCGGGATGCAGAAACACGCAATTCGCATATGACCACATCGTCAACGCCCAAAGCATAGTCGTTAACACGATGCACAGGGCGGCTAGCCACCAGTTTAGGCGCGCTATTAATGGTATTATACTTTCGGCATACGTATACGCTGACCAGAGCATCAGGCCGAGTGTGAAGAATACGGGAAAGAACCCTAGGGCTCGAAACACTTTGTGGCGGTTCCACGATAACCGAATGTTGAATGACATGATAAATTTAAAAAGGTACAAATATGAATAGAGAGACAAGAGGTAAAACTTCAAAAATAGGAGCGGACTTACAGCTCGCCCAAGAGACACGAGAAATCAAATTAGCACGATCGCCACTACTGATGTCCACAATGCCAAGGATCCTTTTGTCGCGCTGTTAACGAGCCTGACTCTGTATGAGCTGTCCCATGACGAATCTTCGCCGCTATCTTCTATAGTAAAGTTGCTGCTAGGTTGCGACGGAACGCTCAAGACATTTGTTACTGCAGCGTCCGTCGCGAGTAATGGCAGTCCATCTGGACCCATCAATCGGATCCGAGTTCGCAGATGCTCATTAGCCACCAACATCCCGTTATCATCGACAGTTATCGTTTCTTGTGTCTCGATATTGTGCGCCACTGGATCGACCATATATAATGAGCACCGCTGTATGCACATATGCATTAGCTCTTCGGGCTCGTCGTGACACTCTTGATTGCATCTTTGCGTACGTTTGAGTACTGCTTCGTCTGACAGTCGGGGTTTGCTGAGACACTGATCCCGACATTTGGACGTTGTGCAATGTTTCAGACAAAGCGATATAGGGTCGCCGCCGGTATCTCTGGCGTATGTCTGACGCTCAACGGAACTACTGGTGGTAGCAGCAATCGATTGAACCAGTACGGCAACTGCAACCACTATAGTCAACTTGGAGTCCGCTTTCATAGTAAATAGTTAAAATGAGAATAGGTGGTAATGAAAAAAGTCACAAATTATATTAGCCCACGAATAGGTACTAGTTGTGTGATGCCCTAAAAGTGCGGAGATTAAGCCAGGTTGGCATTTGAAACATGCGCAACTAGTAGTAGCAGGACCATGCTGATATAACCCATTGCGGGGATTCTGGCCGCGTTGTTAGAGTCTGCCACATCAAGGCCTTTCTTTGCGCTTACGGGCTCGTCCTTGGCCACACGCCAATTCAAAGGAAGGTTTCCGCTAATATCTTGCTTTCTTGGCATTTTGCGTGATGCCCCACCTGGCACACCCAAGCAACGTGCACGACAGCTCTGGTCCGTAACTTTACATCCACTAACACACTCTAATTGGTCGTTGTTGTTTTTGACAGCCGCGTTTTCTGACGCTCCAGGCAACGTGCTCGCTCTATTTCCATCATTTTCACTGCTGCTGTCTGGCGCCAAATCCTCCGCTAGATCAGGGCGCATCCCCAGTAACATGTTAATGTCGTCGCTGTCCTCAATGTCTGGCTTGCTCGATAGCTGTGCAGCAATCGCTAGAAATGTCGTTAGTAACGCGAATATTGGCAACAAGCGCATTGTTAAATGGTTCAAAATGGTAGTGTTTGTAATGTAGAATTGAATCCTCACAAGAAATGGTTGCAAAAGATAAGGTGGATCGGTTGACGGAACTAATCGAGACAGAAGCCATGCGGCATTAGAATGGTGATAGATGACGTCCCACATGCTGGTATATTGGTAATTTCCAAAAGTTGTCGATCTATTTCAAAATCGCCTTGAAATTCAGGCTCACTACTTTCACTTACCACACGCTTTCTTATATACTATCTCGCTCACAACCCTCACTTAACAGGATAAAGGCATGGTATTAAAGTACATAAATGTCTTTTTTGAGACTGAAAACAACTAGCCATTATTAGAAATTGGTATATTAGAAATTGGTCTAATGATCCAGCCTTAAACCACAAGTAAATGCCTGAGTAAAAGTCGTCGTAGGAATGTGGTTGTACCACTTATTGCTCAAAATGGCAACTACTTTAGGAACGATCGGGTAACGTTCACGTGTCGATTTAATGTCCCAGAGGCACAGCCTTGTCTCGTACTTTGGTTTTCTGATTATGCCCAAGTCCAACGGCTGCATCACTACTGTCATCCGCTCTGGGAAAAAAAACTTGTGCTTTGCGCCAGCTAGCCTTCTAAGTGTCACATGCTGTGATATAGCAAAAACAACAGTTGTTTACTTACTTGTATTCTTCATATGCACTATATGCGAGGCTCTTTTAAAACGCAACAATAAAAAATCCAAAAAGAAGAGTAAAAAAGTGAGGTCGTGCCGAGATTCGAACTCGGGTAACCAGAATCAAAATCTGGGATTATAACCACTAAATCACACAACCCGATTTTCCAGCGATTTTGGACTAGATCGCTGACTTTTTTGAGAGCATTAATTACGAGACCTACAAAATGTGCCTGATTTCTTTATGCCCTACTAATGCGCCTGGGCGATTTTTTAGATGCTGCGCATCGTTCAAGACTTCACGTACGCTTTCACGCAACTAAAAGCCATCAAACCATTTCATACCCACTGGTATCATTTTGATCCTAGTGATGATCTGCTTAGTAGGAAGATCTCTTTCTGCAATGACCCTCAAACTCATGGATGGCCACCTCTCACACCTTTAAAAGTGTGGGCGATAGTGCACTAGTTGTTAAAGCTGTTTCTATCGGTATCTTATTTTCCGTTTTATTTTTATAATACTATTATTTAACAAATCAGATTCCTCAAGCCAATAGACAAAGTAGTGCAAGTCGGCAGCAAAGACTGATGGTAAGTGCAAGGCTTTCAAGTGCAAGCATGTCAACTGTGGCAAGTCTTTCACGCATTGGTACAACTTAACATCGCACATGCAAACTCACTCAGATGAGAGGTCATATCCGTGCAACCTCTGCGACCAGAGGTTCAGTTGTAACCACGACTTGAAAAGGCATAAGATGATCCATACAGGGGACTGCCCCTTCATATGCACTCAATGCAACTGCGGTTTTGTTTGGGCTGATGCTCTCCACTGCCACATGTCCAAGGGCACTTCGTGCAAGTGCACTGCTAGCGAATCCTCACAGACCCACCTGGCTGATACACCTGCAGCTTACTCGAATGACACCATTGCCGATTCTATAAAGACCATTAGGTCTCCTACATTTGTACAAATAAATACCTACATTTTGCTATAATAATCATTTTGCGGCCTAAGTGATGTGAGTATAATAAGTAAAAGTGAATATTATTTTACACTGAGGAGTATCTTTAGCAAGGCGCGCTAGCCATGGCCCTGTCTTATATACTCCCCATATACAGTGCAACTTATGATATAAAACCTAACCCTTATCAAATGCTACATATCCTCAGATGTATATTTTTATGTAGCATTGCTATGGTCAGAGGCAACGCTGAATGCAACTGCATGCATCATTGTTGTCCTGCCCAACCACAATGCCTACTTAAAGTAAGTCAGATGAAAAAACTTAAACACGGCTCAAACTAGCTACACATGCAAGAACGAGTACATTGATTTCGCTGACCCTAATGCTCTGAGCAAGTTCAACATTGCATGGTGTCCACAGAACACCTATCAGACCAGAAACTCTGTAGTTTGGCGACTGACAGCCGATTGCGGAACAACCATGATCTACCTGTGGGGCTTTCAATATGGTAAAGTGGAAGCACGCATTCACGTATTGCCTGGCAGTGGCGACAAACTCGATTGGGAGTGGGTAGGCAAGGACACGTGGACTGCGCAGTCTATGTACTTTGTCAAAGGCCAGCGCGTCGATCCCAATGCCGCGTTTGTCCACACACCTGGAGATACGCCCCAAGATATGGCAGCTGGGTTCCACAACTACGCAATCGAGCTGAACAAGGATAGCGTTAAGTGGCATATTGACAATTGGCTTACGCGTACACTCCCAAAGCTTGACGGGGTTCCTTTCCCATCAGGGGCAAGCCACGCCAGGATGGGCGTTTGGGATGGCTCTCAGACCAGCGGATGGGCAGGCACCGTCGACTGGAGCAAAGGTCCATTCACGGCTGAGATGCAGTGGTTCAGGTTTACGCCATATTGTTAGATACCCTCCCTTTTCTTAATTTCGAGCTCTTGAAAAATTACCAAGGTGCCACAAATTCATTCAATTTGCATAACATCGAATATACAATCTTGATTCGATTTCTTTTAGCAGCTCATGAATGGCAATCGCGAATCATTCGCAATCCTCCAAAGCTAATGCAGAACGCCTAGTGGATTGCCATCTTGGAACAGTGGCTGCATCTCTTTGAAGAGTGCCGACCTTTTGCCATACCAAAGGATGATTCGAAATGCCACGTGCATTTCTTTGCAAATACAAACTGTGAACATGTTAGATCGCTCTATGAATATCGTGTGCAATATGACTTGCTACACTGGCTTTCAATGTGCTCTTGGCCGCCTATGTTCTTTCACGTCGGTTGGCACCAAACCAGCAAAAAACGCGAGTACAAAGTGTAAGCAAAGGAAATGTAGTGGATAGACTGTTATTTCCCGCGACATATAGGGCCGTTGTCTCATGGCCAATTCTCTTATAAAGACGGGGCTGGAGCCACTCGATTATAACCAAGCCACCACTATCACATCAGTACTCTAGCCACCCTTTTTTGCCACATCCTCAACGACACTCTTTTCCTAAGACATTATCGAAATCTACTCTCCAATCATGAAGCTGACTGTTGCCTCGTTTGTCATTCTTGCTACTGCTGTTTCTACAGCTGCCTCCGTAGTTCCTGCCGCCCCGGCTGCATCCCCCGCTCCTTTATCAGCGCATGTTGATGCCCCTGAAGTGGGTACACAGGAATTTAACGCCCGCGCTTTGGATTACTACAGGTACCGCCGCGACAGTACCCATGATGACCAGCATTTGAACGTCCGCGCCCTCGATTATTATAGATATCATCGTGACAACATCCCTGATGAGCAGCATCTAAATGCTCGCGCCTTGGATTACTACAAGTATCGCCGTGACAACATTCCTAACAGTGAGCACTTGAACGCCCGTGTTTTGGATTACTACAGATACCGCCGGGACAATGCTCCTCTGGAGCATCACCTAAACGCTCGCGCCTTGGACTATTATCGCTACTAGGATGTATAGTGTTTCATCTATCGATATCAACTTTTCATTCGGTCTTGAACTCAGTCTATTTGAATAAGGAAAATTTAAGCAACCAAATGTAAAGTGTAAACCAGTATTATAAATGTTGCTGTCTGACGAGTGTCTTTTGTTTTAAGCGATGATGTTGGCATTGTTAAAGGCGTGGATGTTCTCGTTGGCAACATTAGCATTCACATTGTTGGCACAAAGTGTGTTCTCGTTAAAGTTGGCAAAGTTAGAGTTGGCGTCAACATCGTTGGTGAACGATGACACAAATGGGAACCCAAGACCGCCGTATCCACTGTATCCACCATAGCCACCATAGCCACCATAGCCACCAAAGCCGCCGTATCCGCCACATCCACCGCAGCGCTTGGGCAAAGCAGCTTGGGTGCCAGCTGGCTGGTGCGGTAGCGCAGAAACTGAGCTAATGGCGGCAAGTGCAAGAACGGAGATGGTGCGAGCAATCATTTTCAAAGTTAGTTGGTGGTGGTTGCTGTAGTACTGTGCTGTGTGGTGACAATATTATAATCCTGAATACGGCATACAATGACTCTTTTATATACTCTTCCGAGAATTCTACTCGTGGTGCTAGATATATCCATTGATTGCATACGCGAGACGGATGGAATCGATTAATGTCAGTACACGTAATACAACACTCCGTTATTCGGGTATGCAATGTTATATCTTTAAACAGGTAACTTTAATACTACGGCTCTAAATGTCGACGTAGACTGCGGGGCCGTCTGGGTACTGAGAGTCTATGCCGTTGAGTGGAAGACATACGATCCTATTTGGTCCGGATCTGAAAGAAACCTTCTCTACCTCTGGGACATTGTATGGTAAATCGGCTGGAAAGAATACGGGCTCGCGCAACTTGTTGCGAGTTTTAATATCATAGGATACTTTTACTCGGGGAACTACAATTGCGCGCCTAAGTCCCCGTTTCCACATATCGTTGCAAAGCAGCGAGCATTCTGACGCCGAGCACTCTCCCTCAGCGCTTCGCCTGAACCGTAGTCCGTCATCTCCGTGGAACACTTGCGCATCAATTAATGCTGCTCCGTTCCAGCAGCACTGAACCTGAAATGGACGGTCTCTCATCTGCGCTACCATAGATATATCATCACCTGATATTTTATGCATTTCTTTTCTGGGCATCTCTCCACGCATATCCCGAGTAACCCAAATATCGTAGAACCCTGGTCCACCATTAAATATATCAAAGTCTTCTGCACAAGTAAGATGAGCGGATTGAGTGCGCGATTGGTAGAGCAGTTCGAGTATATCGGGCATGCAGAAGTAAATGTCGTTGAGGAACAATACGTGGCCATATTTGGTACCAGTGCTATGTAACGGCTCGAGTGCTAAGTTGCGGACCTTTGCCAGGTACTCTATGCGGTGGATGTGCTCGGGCTTGGGCACTTCGTCGGTGCATATCTGATGTGGAATACCCAGAGCATTTAAAGTCGAGTTGAATCGATGCAGGATTTCCTTTGTCTTGTCCTTTGATCCATTCTCATAAATCGATACGAAAACCCGACTGTGACCCAGCGTATCTGCCAGTGCAAGCAACTGTAACGCCATATTTGGCAGTACCATTTCGCTGTTATACAAATTGATGGCAACAAAAACTGGCTCGATACCGCCAGTCGTAATGTTTCTGTAGCGTTGCTCCGCTGAGGCTATAAATGTCTTGTCAAACCTCTCCTGTGAGCAGAACTCCCGCACATCCTCCTTGTGGATCTCTTGATGGACATTCTGAAGATACTTTTCAAACCCGATGCGAGCTTTAAGTACCTTGGACCAACCATTGATATTCAACGAAACAAATTCGTTGTCAAAGCTATACATGCCAACAATACCTATCATTGTTAGTAGTGTCAGACCGCACATCATCAAATATGCTCGCTTACGTAGGGAGGTATATGCAGCCCGAAACACCATTATAGGAAAAGTTAATCAAGAAACAGCTATGTATAGGGAGTGTACGACTGGTGACGTGCGAGGTTGATGTGGCTAGTAACAAAAACAACGTACTGATTAGAAAATTGTTAAACAAAATAGGACAGGGTAGAGTAAGAATTATTTCATCAAGAGTGGAAGGGGTGTTGGGAAAACGTCATTTGCTTACCATTCTTTGCTCTGTGTAAATGTGGAATAGAATGATGCAAAGGCCCTCCATGCTTTTCTAAAAAGAAATGGCAATGAAGCT